CCGAGGGACTCCGACGTTGGACATTTCAAATACTCCAAACTTCGACTAAAACCTCATATCGATGCATTAGAAGAATAAAAATATATTACAATTAATCTGTGCCCCTAGGGAATATTAAAGAAAAATTCAGTTCTTTCATTTTCTTACCAAGGATTACATATCGACAACTTTCAATGGTAAAAATATAATTAAACCGGGAATGAGTCCCGATGCAATTGTTGTCCTTTCGGGATATTTTTACAATTGGGAGATTTAAAATGTAGGATTTTAATACATATCCTGTGGAAGGTTACGGTGGAGGTACCTTGAGTAGAGTGATACCTTTCCCAGAGAGGTATGCAAAGCTCAAGGCAAATCCTATCCCTCCCCGGAGACCTTAAGGTGTACCGAAATAAAGGTACCCCTCGGGGGTCCTGTGAGTAATGATAGACGAGTCCTGTGTACTACTAGCTGGTCCGCCGAACCTAAATAAAGGATTATCCTTGGGAGCCCCACCAGCCAGCACGCGTTCCTTCGAGTCCTGGCCTCTCCGGAGACGGACTCTCGGCAGATTAGTAACTAAACTGTAAATATTGGCCGGCATTGACGAGAATTAGCTTTCCGACAGGATCTCATGTCGGTCCTTGGGGATTCGGGAAAACGGTGGGCGGACCGGCCGTTTAGCGTCCCCTGGAAATTCGAGTACTCGATGAGCTACCTGCTGACAATTCTTGACATCCAAATCCATTGCCGCGGGTATTTATCTGCATTTAAATTGAACGAGTGACAACTGCAATGGTCAGAAATTAATATTTCCCGTGTCAATATCCGTTTCTAATTTTGTCTTTGTTTTTTCTTACGGTACCACGTCCGGGATACCACTATTGGAGAACGGTCATCTTCTTGTCGGACGCGACTCCTCCGCGGGAGGCCATGCAGGATTGACACGCTCCCGAGATTTCGTAGATCGTAGAGACTGGAGAGGAGATACGTCGGCGTCGTCACGCGAATGCTATCCGGTTGCTGCCATGACAGGATCGACAGCAACGGCGGCAACGACAGAAGTTGATAAACCATTCGACCGCCGAACGATTGCTCAGCAGTTTGGGCGCTCCGCCTCGTCCCGCCCTTCCCGAGGATTACACCAAAAGACATTGCCAAAAGAACCATTACAAGGATAACCCAGGTCCTGTCAAAACAGCGTTAACTGCACATTTCCTAATGATTTATTTCCGCCAAAGTTCTTCCATGCGATTTATTTTCGATACTGCACCGGGAAGAAGATATTCATAGAACCAGAGAAATACTTTGACAGTTCAAAGAATTTCCCTTAAACTGGGATAAATTGTCATAATTCCGATTAATTCGAGTTCCTGCGAGTTAAGTAATTATCCTTTGGGTCGACGAGATATTTCTAAAGTATTTCTTTGATTCGGTGGCAGTCTTTTCTAGGGTGCGATCGAAACTTGGCAGATATAAAGCGACGGATTGTAAATTTTAATTTCATCTCCGCTGGATTACTTCTGTCCCGTGCACTAATAGATCGGTAGACCGTCAGTATGTCGCAGCAGCCCGTACCGCAAACAAAGTATAAATCAATCGCACAATAATGGGCCTGGCCGTCTGCCGATCCCGATATTCCCAATTTTCCCAAATGGTCGCGGAGGCCGCCCCTTTTGGGCTCCCTTCGGCCCGCCCGGACCCCGTCGGGGGTCGGCCAGGACTCGCATATGTCGCCCTCGAGACGCACGCCATTTCACGCCACGTAGGACGTTAATTTCACGTGTCCACTGAATAAGAATTGCGTTAACGCGTGACCAAGTGTATGCAAAAACCGAGTCGAGGGGATGCCCCCCGAAACGCGGTAACTGACCCGCGCAACGGACGCATTGGGGTGCGTTTTAAATTGCCGAAAAATTCAGAAATTAAATTAAATAGAAAGGACGTTTAAAAATCAAGCGACGAGTTGCAGTCTGCTTCCTCTGGGTGTGCGCTTTAAATTGCTAATAAATGCGTAGATTAAATTAGAAAGGATGTCTGAAAATTAAGCGGGATGAATTTTTCGGGATTTGGGGGAAGGTCTGGATTCCACTTTCTCCGGCCCCTTGACCAAGTTTACAACTTGTTTACGGGTTAGTAACGCACCGAGTCATTTGGTCCCGGGTGATTTTTTTTTTTTTCGGAAGGCGACTCTCGTCGGGGAAGGAAAAAGAGGGAACGAGGAGAGCTCAAAAGCGAGAAGAATTCCTCGCACTCGGTGCTCTCGTCACACTTTAAACCCACGAAGAGTGGGCCGACAGTCCGGCAACATCGTGAGACGTAAATCTCAGTTTGCGACCCTCTTACCCCGAGGAAGGTGAAAGTTTTACGACCGGTTGTCGTCACGGATTCTCAGGAAAATCTCGTCGGTTCCTTTCCGGTCATCGGGGCCTGCTTTGCCGGCGTTTCCGACCCGGCCGGCATAAAACGCACAACGGGGCCTATAATTTTGTTTGCAGTGCCCGGCTCGGGCCAGGAAAATAAAAATTAATATCCAGCAACTAGTTAGGAAGGGAGGAGGTCGAAGGAAGGGACGCGTGGCCGCGCGTGTCCCGTTTTAGAGTTTTCCCCGAGTTTACGGGGCAGGACCTTCGAAGGTAGGCCTGCAGGGCGTAGAGGAGCGGCCTCCTCTTGGCGGCACGTCGGCCATTATGATATTTTCAGGTAGACTTTGGAAGCCGATTGCGTTCCGTGTCCCTCGGAGCACGTCCGAATTGCGTCGCCTCCTCGTCAATGGAGAACGACAAGAATGGCCCGAACAAAGAGTCAAAGGACCGGGAATCGAGGGAGCCGGCCAGAATCGAGAAGAACAAGACATCAAGTCCCTTCGCTTCCAGACTCGGAATTCTCACAGAATTCCGGAATTTTTTTCACTCCACGAGCAAGGAATTTCCCATCGTCCAAAAAAAAATTCCAACAATTACTAGGAGATCTACGGTGTTCATTCAATTTTTCGACACTTTTATTTTTAATTGCAAAGTAGGATTTAAAAGTTCATCTCGGAAGCGGTTCTAAACGACTACCCACAGGAGTCGAGATGAAATTCGTAATGGAAATCATTTATGTCTCTCCTATACGAGCCCTTGGACTGGCACCCTCGTCCCCCCTCGCTCCTCCCCCTGGATCTCCCTTTCAGGATTATTATTTATTACGTCCTGGCATAGACTCATAGGTGGACACGTGGATTTCGCGCGTGGCCGAATGGAACCTCGAAAGACCCACAATCGTGGGTACCCACCGTAATGCCGCTAAAAAGGTATAAAAAATGTGGCAAAAAAATCCCACTGACTCCTAACGTCGTCGATTCCATTTTTTACATGGTCGGAGGTAGATGTCCTCTGATGGTATTTTTATATCATGGAATTTTGAGTCGATTAATTTATAGTCCAATCATTTGTTTCACTCTCCTCCCAATAATTGCTCAAAATCGTCCAACGGGAACCCTCGGGTCGCTGGCACTTGTCCATCCGCTAAATGGATACGTCTCACTTATCCCGCAGGAACTGGCCCTTTTTTCCCGCGGCTCCAGGGTTTCCTTTCTTTCCGCGCCCCGGCGATGCGTCGAAACGGTCCGGCCGAAAGTGGGATTAATGAAAATACGCTGCCGAAGGAGGAGGCCGGGGAGCCAGGGTGGGACCCACGACGCCGGGGCTAAATGCACGTATACGAGTATGCCGGAGGAGGAGTGTTCACGGCTTGATTAATCGTCGCCGAGTAGCGTCCCGGAGAAAGACGTCGCTCGCAAGACTGCCTTCCTCTAGTTTTACACTACGCACTTCCCCCAATGCGTGAAATCCCGGGGCCTAATTCGAGAGCTCGACTTCGTTTCAACGTCCACCTGGTAGCATCCGATAAAGGCCTCGGAAGGTATCAGGGCGAAAATAAAAAAATCACATATACGGTATACATAGGAAATAAGTAATCACGTAGAGAACTACGTTTACATAGATAATAAATAATTACACGGACGTCCGAAAAGAGGATTTTTCATATAAACATAAAAGAGTCGATTAAATAGGGGGAGTGGTAAAATTCCGTGATTCCGGAAAACCGAGGCAATGGAAGTCGTCGCTCGCGATAGGCTAGAGCGTCGAAAAGCGTCGCGTGTGCCAGGTCGCACATGGCGGACGTGCATTGTGCGTCGTCCAGGGGAGTTAGGGGGTCGGACACGGGATTTGTGTGAATAGGCGTAATAGTGGGAGGGGATCGGCCGAATATCGGGGGTGGTTCGTATCAAAGGGCAGCTGATATAGGCAGCCCGGGGGGCGCAGGGCTTAGGAGGTGCCTCGACACTGGGTCGTGGAGAACAGGGGTAGCCGAGCCCCCTCCACCTACTCGGGGTACGCGTCCTACCCTGAACTCGTATACGCGTACCCGGTAATAAACCCCGGTACCCCGGTGAAAGTTTCGGGGGCCCATTGGCACGCGCGAACCCCCGTAGGACAGGACGGACCCCAAGGGCTCGAAAATCGTCACGGGGACACAAATCATTTCGCCTCGTTGCAGCCTTCGAGTTCGCTCGAGCCCCAGAAGCGAATCGGCGTGCGACCGGTCATCACGGATCGAACGGGAACCAGGACGAGGTGCAATTCGGGTGGTGACGGTACCGACAGAAATTCTACTTAAAAATCCAGCATCGACGGTTGCCGAATAAATTTAAGTGGTTCGAGAGCGAGGATGCTCAGGATTCCGTGAACGGTGCGCCAGGTCGGTGCCGATGACTGTTAGAATTGGGTGCAATGCCGTCCGGGAGGTGATGCTGGACCTTATCAGGAGGGGGCGGTTTCTTTGTGCTCTGAGGATCGTAACGTTGCATCGGAGTTCGGTTTTTTGCAAGTGGTGGGACAGGGATCTCGGAATAGGTCGTCGGATTTTCTTGGGATCACCGCGAATGTCGTGTAAAGATGACTCCCAGGAGGTGACCCTTTAGGCAGGACTTTGTCACGAGCTCTCTGTGGGTGATTTGAACGCGCGACCTCGAAATGGCGAGTTCTGCATACTTCGCTAATAGCGAGGTTGGGTACTGGCCGTATCAGCCTATCGGAGACGTCCGACCTGCCGATGGAGGTCTCTTCCATGACTCGACCTACCAGGAATCTGGTGATCCGAGTGCTGGGTATTGCGCAAGGTCCCAACACGTTCCTGCAGCTCCTCAGCCACCTTCTAGTCTCTTGGAGACGCTGTTGCGACATGGCAAGGATGCCGTGACGGATAGCTACCCCGCTGCTGGGGGGAAGTCGTCGTTGAGTCCTCATGCGACTCAGTCCGTGACATCACACATGCCTTGTCAGACCCCACCTTACACTCCGACGTCCTCCATCGAGAGGACCTCTCCTCTGAACGGACTCGGGGACTCCAGCCAGGAGAGGTTCCAGCATCGGCAACCTCCTGACGCCGCCATTGGCTCCTATGGCCATCGTTACCAGGGGTACCCCTCGCAAACCCAGACAGGGTGCTCTTCGGCCCTTGTACCTCCACCCTCCTCTGCATCTTACGACTCTCTCCAACCTGGATACAATGCCTATGGGAACAACAATAACAACGGAAAGACCAGTCCTAGTGGAAACAAATACCCTGACGACCAGGCGCAGAGATCCGTCGACTATCCGTGGATGAAGTCCAACTATGCAGCTGGTCGGTCTCTGTCAATTATGTCCCAGAGGGATTTTTCTTTCCTACCGAATGTAGAATGAATTTCATTGTGTTCTTAATTGCTTCTTGACTTTCAGGCGATGTCACCGGGACGGGGCAGAAGAGGACGAGGCAGACCTACACGCGATTCCAGACTCTGGAGCTGGAGAAGGAGTTCCATTTTAATAGGTACCTCACCAGAAGACGCCGGATCGAAATTGCTGAGGCCCTTTGTCTCACGGAACGCCAGATCAAGATCTGGTTCCAAAACAGACGCATGAAGGCGAAGAAGGACGGGAAGTCGGGCTTGAACGTCGGGGAATCCGCGATTCCGGATGACGTTACTCAATCCCACGTGAAATCTGGTGATTCCATTTCCACTGCCAGCTCTGCAACGTCCATGTTGATGCATAATGGCCCGACTCAGTCCGCAGCTTCTGGGATCTCTCAGAGAGCCGACTCCCTCCATCAGCAGCATCCGCAACACCCACATCATCATCTGCATGCAGCGTATCTGAACTATCAGCACCAAACTCAGGTTGCGTATGGCCACGAGTATGGGCGACATCAAGGTTATGGTCAACCCGCTAAGTTGGACCACCATACAGGGTCGTGAACCGTTCGGTTGCATAGGGAAGTACAAATAGACGCCTCCACCCGGAGAAGAGAATTTCCGACTTGAACAGGTCACATAATTTGTAAAACACTTATCGACCAAGTAAGAGCCTTTTCTTTATCACGGGGGGCATGAGTAACTCGATGTCCATGGTCACCCCGAATGTTACCACCATACCGAACCCTGGACCAGGAATGCCAACCTGGCAAGATCGGGCAGCTGACCCTGCAACCACCATGATTTATGGTGAAGCGCGCTAAATAGCCGGCATCCCACGCCAGGTACCCAAAACTTGGTTTCGTTTACCAGTTTTGCTATGGGCGTCTCGCGGATTCGTCGTGTTCGGAGGCCGAAGTATAATCCCGCGTCATCCCCGACAAATATTTTGACTCATAAGCTCGGATTCGCATGACTAATGGGCCTGCGTGAGATGCAAGACTCCCTTACCTCGATGGACCAACTCGACACCGCGAAAATCCTTTCGTTATGGATTCGAGGTGTGCCGATGTTGGATCAGTGGAAGCGCCACGTTCGATGAATTCTTAATATCCAAGGTCGTGGAATGATAGAATACTCTGAAACTAGTAGGCGATAATTATTCACGACTGGTTTGAAGCGCTGGTCGGGTCTCTATCTCGATTTTTCTCCTTTTACCTGACTAAATTGATTATTACCACGGTATGTAATATCGTCTGTAAATATCGAGATTGCGTCTCGGGGACGTTGAGGTTAGGGTTCGTGTATCGAGGCGAGGGACGAGAAGCCATTTGGGGCGGTTAGGTTAGGAGTTAGGGGATGAGAGTCAGGGTGGGGGGACGCGCAGCTGCGCTCGCTCAAGACAAGATGGCCGACCGCGTCGTTCACGAGTGTTGCAGGACTCCTCTTAATTTCAATATTATGCAGGTATGCATACGCAATTTTAATTGAATAATTATCCCGTAGGATGGCAGCCGTGGTGCCGAGTGCCGAGTTAAGGTGCCCGCAAGGTGCTCCTTCGGAAATGCGAACTGTGCTTTGACGAAGGCCTCCTTGCCGACGATCCCGCGAATTCGGCTCGAGAGGATCGGTGATCGTTAAAGTCTCCAGTTAAAGTGCTCGAAAATTGTCCGTGCGGCCTGGTTTATCGCGACATTCGCCATTTTCCAACGAGGGAGTGGAGTGCGCGACCCGTTGGGGAGAAATTCTATTTTCGTCGTGACTTGACAAAATATTAGGCCAGACCCACCGATGGCTGATACTTATCGAGGAAAATGGCGAATACTGCAGCGCCGGTTTTGTCGAATTTCTCATCGACCCTGGATCGAAATTCGGCGTGGAAGAAATCCGGTCGTTAAACCCTGTAAACTCGGCCCTGTTATCTCCCTCGTAGAAATGACCGGGATTCATTTTCTTTTTCCCCGAGTTTCTACTGTGTAAACTGACAAAATAATGGGAATTCCTGCCTCTTCCATCGAGTGCAATCCTGTAGTTGATTAGCGCTTTGAGAAGTATTCGTGAAAACGTTCGGCGAGGGATCGGGAATGGTGCAGGGAAAGTAGAACAAATTGAATACTAATTTCTTCAACTAGGGAAACACTTTCCCGGGCTTTTCGAAGGTGGGAACGACGGCGGATACCTGCTTTTACTTTCATTAAGCCCTTTGAAATACACCGACACCGTCGGAATTTTAGTGGCCCTCCTGAAAGACCTTTCAACAAAGAATTTAACCGCCTCTCATTGCCGACTTCTGCAATGCAATTATATTCTAACGTTATTCCGACCTTTACTCAGGAATATTTCATTTACAAGAATACATTTACAAGTACTCCCTGATCGAACCATTTTACCTTCTGTTTGTCGCATGAAGGCCAAACGTTCCTATTAGTATTTAAGATTTTGTAAATAGCGATATTACTAAAATAACTTTAAGATTGCCGTGATAGACAATCGCGAAAAAACTGCAATGTTTGTCACTTCTTAAACATTCCACGATCGATTACATTATCGATGGAGAGGTCCATCTACGAATCGAGAGATCTCTCATTTCCTACGCGGGAAAGACATAGCTATATTAATATTTTTCTAATTACATTATACCCAAAATGCTAGTCCTACTTCTACGGTAAAGTCTATTTAAATTAAACGATTAATACAATTATTTTTGTATCCGACTGAGTAATAAATTATTGAGGAAACCACGTTCCACCGAGTTCTCCAATTTGGGCCACGCAATGGGACATTTCGTTTTTCCTTCTTTTTTTTTATTTTCCCCGGAACGGCGAAGTCGGCAGGAGTATTTCCGAAAACCAATAACCGGCGGCCACGATAAATCACCTTTCCCAGGTACGAACAATTATACCGACAATTATGAATATTTATGCAGTCCCATAGAAACTTTTAGCCTGGCCGCGATAAATATCATATGCCGATACATAATCAGCGCTCGCAAGTCCGGGGCATTTTATTTGAATATGCTGAAACAATATTTCTCCTGTTAACGGAACACCGTTTACAGCTACATAAATCGCCTCGCTGTAACTTTACCTCCTACCGGCGCATTTACACCGATAACCGGGTCGTGGATTATCTTTAAATAATTTAAATTATCCTATTTACAGTGAAAATCCGCACATCGGAGGGTGTGTCGGATTCCGCAGGGGGTAGGAGAGAAATCCGCCGGCGATGGTCGGAAATTCGAAGGTGATGGTCGAAGGCCTTTTGGGAGGGGGCTATGGACAACATGGCAGGACGTGGTATGGGTGAAGCTACGGGGTAGAATATACTTTAGAAAACGGCAACGGTGGCAGTGAGAGCAGACCCAGTGTTGCAGGGGTTGGACGAAGAGGGCGAGGGTCGATATTGTGCTTGACAGATAGTTTCCCATAGCTCCGGCAATCCATCATGGCCGGCGCGTGAAGATGTATTGGTTTTCCTACTCCTCTTCTTAGGTATCGCCTTAAATTGAATATTTTTGTTCCGCCGACCGAGTCGCGTCCTCAACCCCGCGGTATCTTTTAATTATCCACGGGATATTAATTACGAATCGTAACTATTTTATTCCCATAATTCACCCTTAAATCTGCATATTCTTATACTCCGTTTGTGTAAACATAAAGAAATAGGTCATCCACATTTTTCTCTCAAACCCTAAAATATTTACATATTCTAAGGTGATATGAATGGATATGTAACGTTGAAATATTTATAAAGCTTATCTCCAAACTAGATGCACCGAATCGTTGGAAACTTCAACACGTGATTATGAACGCGCTAAGAAAGAACGTGGTGCTGGTGAAATTTCATTTGGGTCAAAAGATTTATTTATCTCGGACCAGAATGAAGAATAGATATTTTCTTTTTATGTAGGACCTCCATAATCACGTGCCGAATGTTTCGGTGCACCCAATTTGGAGAAAAGTCTTATAAATATTTTGACCTTTCATATATGTATCATATCGCCTTAAGTATCGTCATGCAGTTGGACAACTTCTTCGGCATTTTTTACACGTTACATTGGAACGAAAACGATGCCGATTGGCAAAAGGTGAACGATCAGGGTCTCCTAAAAGTTCGCGGAAAGAATATCCAATGAATCCAGGGAAGAAGATCAAGAATCGCAGCGAGTCATCCTTTATCCGGAGCGCGGTTGAATGAGTATCCAGATCGGCCGGCGTAGGGGACACTCCTGGAGCACTGAAAAACCATTCGGCCGATCTATTAGCAGTCGCTTTAGTTTAAACATCGGGGCAATTTTTCAAGAGCCGTCACCATGAGGTCACACGTAGAACATCCCCGTCCCCTCGGCCGCCCCTCGGCGTCGACGAGTGCCTCCTTCCACCCGTTCAGGCTCCAATATCCAAGGCCGAGAAAAGAGGAATTCTCTGCGGCGAATTTCGCCAGTCCCTGCACGGAAATCTCATTTGACTATTCTCTCCATATCTAAAGCCGAAGGACCAAGGAAAGGATCCATTGTTACACCTGTACAGGGCGTTCTCGCCCCATTACCGATAGCTCCAAAAAAATTTCCGCTCCTTCCCCTAGAAGCGGAGCCAACAATGTGCCGACAATAAAAAAAATAAAATAAAATAAACCAACCTCCCAAAATCCACTTTGATAATTAATCGCAAATCACCCGAAGACTATGTAATTCCACATCCTGCAGCGCATCCTACTGAGGTGCGAACTGCAAGTAATAAGCCCCAGGCCATCGGATCTATCAATTATGATAGCACTATATTAACCCTAGATATCCGGGATATCGATCGATAAATAACGTTTACTAACCTTCGATATCATTTCCGAAGTAACAATGTATTCCGCCGGAGGTGTTACATCGCAGCTTGTCCGGAACCAGGCCCATAGTCGATGAAGAAGCGTATCCCCCGGGTATCCTGGAAAGTGTTTATAATCCCGACGTACCAAAGAGAGTAACGGTCGTATATATTTTTATCGAATAATTCCCCTTCGCCCCCGGCCGGGAGGAGTTCCATTCGTCCTGCTCGTCGACGGGGCATCCCTTTCGGCCAAGGGCGAGGCGCATAAATTCTCGCCGAGGATTCGCAGGTGAGTGAAAGTTAATTCCACCGATAGTAATGATCGAAGAGAGCTCACGAGCCGGCGGCCGGCGTCGCGACGCTTTGGGTCTTGGCAGGGGGGCAGGGGGCAAGGGGGGGGAGGCAGAGGGGCATAAACCATCCTCGGAGGCAGAGCATAACGGATACACGTGTCCTGGCTCGCGGCTCGCTTTGCGACACGTGATTCATGGAGGTCTCGATACGTTTTTTACACCTGCGACGGCTTTATTAGAAATTCTAATGGAGCCGCGGCCGGCGGTGACACGCGGCCCAAGGCAATGCCCGAGAACAGCCACGAAATGGTCTAATCCCGCGACTTCTTGCCGGACCTTACGAGAGACTGGAAAGGAGACTCGCTCGCTCGTCTCGTTTCGCAACCTAGAGGGTACGGTGAATTTATGGGCGCCTTATGGGGAATCGCCGCGCGGGCACCGTTCCGGGGGACGGGAAGAAATCGCCCCCCGGAGCGTTGCGACACTCCGAGTGATCCTATGATCGACGGTGACGCCGATTTTATTTACACGGAAATACCGAAACCGGCAAGCACTAGCCTTGGCTTCCTCCTCTTGTGGAAATCAAACCCGATCGATTACACCGATCTCGGTTAACGCATTCGCGACCGGGAAATTTCTTCCGTTTCAAATACGGAGTACCGGCGAAAGTAATAAAATTCCGAGACTGGTTGCCGCAAACTTGTATCGTGGGTCGTTATGGACGCGATTCACGTCAGCGGCAATCAGGAATAGAATATAAAATGACGTGAGTTCACGTCAGCGGCAACCAGGAATAGAACTTGAAAAGACGTGACTTCGCGTCAGCGGGCGCGAATGCGTTAAGAACCCTTTGTTACTTAAATTAATCCTACAATTATCACTGTCCAACTATGGTGCATAAGGTTCATCCGCGAACGCCGATGACATTTTTTCATTCCATCCTCTTCGCTTCGGGAAAATAAAAAAAAATCGTAGGTCGATTTCTAGACTATCGTCAAGGAAAATAAGACGAGAAGGAAACGTTTGACGTCCTCGTATCGTTCTCTCCGGTCCATGCGATCCTGGCCAGTCGACGTCCTCTCCCGCGGAGGTCCGCCCGCGGTCGAGGAGGTCCGACGAGTATCGGAAGAGTGCCGGGGGACTCGAAAATACCGCCTAGGTGATCGCCAGGCGAGGGGGGGCGTCGGGGGGCGTCGGCGTCTCGGGCCTCGCGGGGGGGCGGGTGGGGGGCGCGAGTTCCTCCGCCGCTACCACTGGCAGAAGTGAAGGAGATAGCCAGTTCCGTCGCAGGGAGGCGAGGGCGCCGCGGAGTGGGGGAAGCCGCGCGCGAGAAGGGGCGGTCGGGGGCGGGCGCGCGCCGCGCCGGGAACGGCCACGCTCGCTACATCTGGTGGCGGAGTCGCGCACTACGGAGGCCCCGAAGAAGAGGGCCGTCGAGGTGGCGGGCGCGCGCGTGCCCGCACTCGAGCCACGGCTGGTCGCTCGCGCTCGAGAGTATCGAAGATATCGAAAAGCACCGAAAAACACGAAAACAAGACGGAGCACAGAGGAGAAGGAGAGAAAGGAAAAGCGAGTGGGAAGAAAAACAAAAATTAAAAGGCACGGACTAATGAAGAAACTCGGCAGAGTTTCGAGCCAAGTACATTCGAGCGAGAAACTAGCAGGGTCGAACGATACGAGAGAGAGAGAGAGAGAGAGAGAGAGAGGAAAGGCGGAAGAGCGATCGAGGGAAATCCGGAAAGACGGTAACCCGGAGCCTCGTCCGCGAGGTTGCCGCTCGGCTCGGACCGATACTCGCCCCGCCTCCTCGGCGCCTCCTCGGCGCCTCCTCGGCGCCTCCTCTACCCCTCCCCGCCCGGCGGTGCCCCCCTTTGACCGGCCGGCTCCACGTCACACATGGCTCTCGCCTCGGTCTCTCGGCGTTCGGTCGTTCAGTGAGTTACGAGTTGCGTCCGGGTTCGCCGTCGAGCGATAACGGGCATCAATCGGGGATCGCGATTGGAGAGGATCGCTACCTGGAGCCTCTCCTCCTCCGGCCGCGTCCCTCTCCCTGGGGCCCGGGCAACAGGTTTGAATTTATGGGACAATAAAGAGTGCGGTGCGTAGTGCTCGCGTCTCCCTCGCCCCGGCCGGCCGGCCGGTCCCTCCCTCTCGCTCTCGCCGTCTCCTTCCCGGGGCGCGCGGGGCGCGCGAGGCGCGCGAGGCGCGCGCGGCGCGCGCGAGAGAAGAGAGCGGCGGAGGCTATCAAACTCTCATAAAACTGTCAGCCGCGGCCGCCGGGCTGACTTATGCGCGCCCCCTCCCCGCGGAGGACCGCCGGCGGGTCCGGAGGGCCCTCCGGAGGACCCGGGACGACCTCGCGCCGCGTGGCCACCCTCGGGGAGACGCGTGCGCCGCGGGCCCGCGGAAGACTCTAGGCGCGCTCTCGGGGACGAGCGGCTAGAAAAGGAGCGCGGCCCGCCCGAAGGGGCGGGAGAGGGAGAGAGAGGGCGCGCGAGGTGTCCCCCACCAGCCGGCTCCCGAATATCTCTCCATTAGACCCCCTGACGGGCTCTCCCCTCTCCTGACTGCGTCCGCACCCCTCTCACCCTTGTCGCGTCGGCCAGCGGAGAACGGGGTTGAAGAATCCTCCGCGGCGGCAAGAGAGACCAATCAAGGTTTGACGAACGGCGGGGATTGGTCGGCGCTCCTGACACGCAGCCAGGGCACGTGACAGCTACCGCACACACCGGCCGCGGGAGCGGAGGCCTCAGTACGACACCGCCTCCCTCCGCGCACGCACGCGGGACCGCGACTCCGGACCGAGGACACCCGACGACGGAGGTCGCCGCCGACCTCCGAGAGCACCCGGGAGTCCGACCGCGGATCGGGAAGAGACGGCGCGAGGTAGCGAGATCGGACAGAGCACGCGGTGGGACCCGCGACAGGGTGTTCGAGTGCGGAGCTGGGGGCACCCGGAAGGGGTCCCTCGATGGGGCCGGTCGATAGGGCCTCCGCTCCCAGCCCGGTGGGCCCCGCGGTTTGCCGTAGGTAGTCGCGCCTACGGACCTCGTAAAGAAGAACCGGACGGTTTTATTGCCCCGGCCACGTGGCGCGGACTCGTAAACCTGCCCGATCGCCGTGGTCCCCTTGGTCCTCCTGTCGGCTGGTCGTTAGCGGGTCGTCGAGTAGTCGTCGGGGTCGCGAGGAGCCCTAGGAACCCGGAGGTGCCGACTCGAGGGAGAAGAGCAGCGAGATGGGACGACCCGGACGGGACTAGGTGGAAACGCCGCGAGGACCATCGACGCGGTCTCGGGGACCGGGATCTGGATCTGGGAAGCGGTGGCGACACCCTCCTGGAAAATGAGTTCCTACCAGTTCGTCAACTCGCTGGCCTCGTGTTACGCCGGCCAACCCGGGCAGCAACAGCCCAGGCCCGCTGCCAGCTCCCCTGGCGAACCCCTGCAGGCTGCGTCGCCCGCGGGCCACGCCGGGCCCGACTATTACAACCCCAACGCCGCCGCGGCCACGGGGTATCCGACCCCGTGCTACTCGCCTCAGCAGCACTATCCTCAGCATCCCTATGCGGCACCCGCGGCCGGGATGCAGCACGCGGCCCCCACAGGGATGATCGACTACACCCAGCTGCAACCCCAGCCTAGGCTCAATGCCACCGCGACCTCCCAGCAACACCTGCACGCCCAACAGGCCCAGCACCACCCGCAGCCGCCGCCGCAGCCCCAGGCTCAGCAACACCATCCCCAGCAGCTGCATCCCGATCCTGCCGCGCCCTTGCTGCAGGCCGCGGCCGCCACCTCTGCGCCCTCCACCTCCAGCTGCAAGTACGCGGACTCGACCTCTTCCACCGGGGTCGCCTCGCCCCAGGACCTCACGACCTCCACCTCCAGGAACAGCCCCACGCCCCTCGTGGCCCCTGGGACCAGCAAGAGCGCCTCCGGTCTCACCTCGCCCCCGGGGGCTTCGTCCAGGTCCTCCGTCGCTGCGGCTACCGCCGCGTCTCCTGGTGGTACCAACCCCAGGGGGGTCTCCGAAGGCAGTTCCGCCCTCGCCTCGGCTTCCGCTGCGTCCTCGCCGGCATCCTCCACGTCCAGCACCTCCAGCACCGGGAACAACTCCTCCAACAAGGGCAACGCTTCCGGCAACAACCCGCCGCAGATCTACCCCTGGATGAAGAGGGTCCACATCGGACAGAGTGAGTACCGGTTCATCTCTACTGGGGACGGGGAAGGGTTACCGTGGGTCATGGGTGAATCCCAGGAGAAGACTCCGAAGTTGGTCTCTTGGTTTGGTTTCCATATCTTGGCTTCTTCGTTTTTCTTTTGCTCGTGAGAGTTAGTGGGAATTATGTATCCCGGGTAGGAGAAAGGTGGTACCGGGGAACCTCCTTCGGAGGTGGCAAAAGGACGGGGAAATTAATCGTAGTCATGGGGATTTATCGCACCGACCGTGTATGTTGCGTCAGTTTGCAATGAGATTGTAATTGCGAGAGACAGGAGGGGGTTTCGAAATGCGAGTACTTCGCGTTGTTCTTGCTCGAGAACTGCCGGGGGGAAATTATGGGAAGGTGTCGCAAGAGAGGCCTCGATTTCGAGGCTGCTTTTCGGCTCGATATGGGAGAGGCCGTCGACGATATGGGAGATAAGTGCTTAATAACCATCCCCCTCGACTTGCGAAAGTCGCGGAATTACCGCTCCCATATCCGTGTCGAGTTAAATGGTGAAAGCCCGGATAAAGCCGAACGCATCGCGGGCACTTACCATAACGAGTTTCCATCCAACCGTTTTGCAGGGGCATCGAGTCGCCGTTAAAGGAAAAGTTACGTGGATGTAAACGAAGGTCTCGATGTTAGCGCGGTTTGCGTAACGCCTTGCTCCTGGATCCTGATGGATACTTATGGATCGGGACGAGCGCGGACCGATGGCGAAGGATCGGTAGAAGGAACTCTCGGCAATCATTTTTCCTGGGTCCTTGGCAATTACGATTTAAAATTGTAGTCCGCAGGGTAATTGTTAAATGATATCCTAAGGGTGGATGCGCGGTGGGACATCTAATGGTGCTCTCGGGGTTTATTTCAATTTTTTTTTTATCATCTCGTAACTTAACTCTACGTTTGGATTCGCGGACGCTAAGGGAGCCCGAAGAGGTCCGACCGTATCGCGCCGACTATGAGAAATGGCAAAACGCACGCGGAAAGAAATAGCTTTATTTGGGTGAGAGACGTCAAACTGACGTTTGCGCTCTTCCGCGGCTTCGTAAGATGGATCGATCGAGGGAAACCGTTATCGCGACGAGACAACGAGATGCGGAAAGTTTGACACTTGTATCAAGGGAAGACGGTGGTCCAGCGATTAAAATGTGCCATTCAGTTCGGGGATGATCGTCGACGTAGGCGAAATATAATTACGAGTTCCGGTTGAAGACTAAGTATCAATTCTTAGGCTATCTCATCTTATCGGTCCCCTTTTCACGCCTGCCTTTTGTACTCATAAAGGCCGAGATGATCGAGGGTTCTTTCACCCTATCGATGGTCTCGGAAATATCTTGCAGAAGAGTCAAAGGAATGGGCAAAATTCGGAAAGAGGCGAAGAAGGAGCTGGCGAAACCGAAGAGGAGGTCGATGCATCTTACCGAAACTCGAAAAGAGGCTAAAGCGATGGTGGAACTCGAAACTCGAAACTCGGCAGAGGAGCTGGCGAAACTGGAGAGGAGGTGGATGCGGCACCTGCCCCCGCGGTTCACCGGAGATAAGACAGCGCCGGCCGCGGTCGCATTAGTCGCCCGGTGATTTACCGAGCGGCCAGTATGATTCAGTCAGCGGGGAATTTGACGAAGAATTAATGGTATTATGATATCGTGTGTAACTATGTATGTGCGCCGAGCCATAAATCAGGCCGCATTGTAAGGCGGGGGGCCCTTCTTCCTTCAGCTTTGGCTTTGGCTTTCTCGGCCTCGGCCTGCGCCAAGCTGGCGAGCTCCTTCGGCCCCCAAACGGCACCGAAAGCAAAGCTCTTTCTTGCTTTGCCTTGCTGCGCCTTCCCTGCGAGGGCCGCGAGGTTAATGTAGCGTCCCCCGACATCCTGCTTTATATTCCAGCCTGGAAACTGCTCAGACGCCGGCGCGATCGCCGAAGTTCCGCGAAGCCCCAAATCGGCCCATCTTCGAATCTTCGAGCAAACGGTCGTCTCCAGCTCGAAAGATCCAAAACGCACCTACCCCTTCGCCCTTCGAGACGATACGATAAACTCTAGGAGAACCCTGGACCGCTGAAACCGTAAAACCCGCTTCTTGGTCGGTTCCCTTCCGATGGACACTTTTTGGAGGTGTCCCTCCCCAGTGGCTCAGCTCCATCGTCGATCGCGTTCCTACTTCTGCGATCTCTGTTCTCCGGCGAAGGATGTTCGGAGATTCGATCTGGGCAGGCTTAGAGGCGATTTTCGCGAAGCCGGGGCCACGCGTCGGGTGGTTTGCAGCGAACCGTCCTGAATATTGGATGTAAGCTGTTCCATCGGCGTGTGAGCTCGTGGGAAGTTTCGGAAGTTGCTCGAGAAAGTGTCTGGGCCGTTTGTCCGTTACCAGGCTCTTTTTCCAGTACACACCGACCGCCAGATCGGAACCGCCGAAGCTGTTGGTTGGACCGGGAAGGGTCTGATTTAAAAATATACGCACATCGCCGAGGAGCTGGTGCGCCTTGACACTTTTCCAGGAGAGACTAAAGGAGTGCGCGGTGGAACTAACGCGGCGCTCCAGAATTTAGTCCGAGTGAAATTATGATATTTCATAAGTCGTTCAATTTTAAGAGGAGGCCTTCGCTTATCGGCGTTTTCGGACAGAGAAAGCCAGACCATGAAGCGAATTTCCGGTGATTCGGAGGGTGGGGTCCGTTCCGGGCCCCGTTTTGCAAAAAGGCCACACATGTTCCAGTTCACCCAGGGGTCTTTCCGGTCCCGAAAAGGCTCCCAGAATCCGAGCCAGGACCCCTAGGAGAAGGCTCTTTCTCCGGCAGCACCCACGCGCCTCCAGCTTGCGCAATTCTCGGGCCGACGACAAATTTGAGATAAAAAGAGAGAGAGAGAGACAGGAGGGGAAAAAAGGAGGAAATTGGAGGTTTGAAAGCTTACGCTTGTACGCTCCTCTCGCTCTCGGCGGCCCCTCTCTCTTTCTCGGGGACTTTAATCTGGATTTCTCTTTCGAATGTGTACGAGAAAAGCGTACGCTTCGAAAGGCACTTTATCTTCGGGGACGGCGCGCAACTTCGGCCTAGCAGATTAATTCTTATCCCTGGTCGCGGCTCCGATAAAATATTGCGTAGAAACGCGTCTTAAGTGGTCATAAATAAAAATGAGAATTCATGGCTCGATCGCTCCGCAAGGAGGGAATCATTTTAATTATCCCTCGCCGGCACACGGAATTCAGGATGCGTTGCACAACGCCGCGGCGTTGTTACTCGAGCCGCTCGACTCGCTCTCGGTCGGAGAAATGCATCCTTTTGCATTTCGGGGATTCTTTTTGCGCGACTTAGCTACGAGCGAGGTCCCCGCGTATGTCCGTCGGTGGTCTCTTTGGTCGTTCCGAAATAATCGAGGCCTGCCAGTCCCCTAAATGTAAAAAAAAGGCCCGCAAAACCAGACCACCGGAATAAAATTGATAAAGTTTCCCCGTGTGCTGGAAATTTTGCGAAACTCCGTTATCACGATTAATCGACCACGCGTGCTTATTAACATCCGTACACTCTGACAGAAGGAACCCATTGAACCGGGAAAATATATCGTTGAACCGCGCCGAAGAAATATATTTTTAATTAAGGATAATTCTTCGGGTCAATTAAGTAGTCGCGCAATTCGATTTTAATTGAGTTAATCGTTCTTTGATACTGACGTTGCGGATCGACCGACGGAATCGAGGGGGAAAGGCGTACCTTTGGGAATATTATGCCAATAAGTTCCATATGTTCGTCACGGGTGAAATAATGGCGCGATCATTAGCGATTAACGAGCGGTTAGCGCATAAAATAAGCCCGTAAGGTTGGCGCGATAAAGCCGGGAGAGAGACGGGGATAGTTGGAGCAAGGAGCGAGTCGAGGAGGGCGAGAGAGAAGGGCAGAATCAGGTGGCGGGTCAGGGGAAACGGAAGGTCGTTTTCGCCGAGGAAGCATAATTACTAGTCGATCCTTCCCCCCCGTAAATAAGTTACCGACAGTTGCCGAGGACGAGGACTGGCGCGATTCCTCCCCGAAGGGAGGGTTCTAATTCCCAAGATACAAATCCGTCTGCTGCCCTTGTGACATAAGGGTGTTAGGTCAAACCTCGGGACAGGTTTTCGGCCAGGACCCCCTTTTTGGGAGCCGGTACATCATCTTCAGGCCTTGTTTACTCTTGTTTATCCCGCCGCGAACGACGCGCAACGCAGGCCTTCTGCAGTTTTTCCTCCTTTCAAAGGAAAGGAAAAGTGGGAGAGAAGGGTGTCCAAGGACCTCGAAAGAACAGGATAAACGGCTGAATTTGAATATCATTTTAATATTCTTATCTCGACGCGCAATGGCGTTAGAAGCGCCCTGACGAATGAACCGGCGGGAAATATGCGTAAACGTTGCTGAATTAAATCTCTTCTATGTTAATTGGGTGGCTGGTGTCGAGCGCGTCACCGATTGCTCCGTTAATGGGACAAATGAGAATTTATGCATGTTTCTCACCGAGGAGCCCTTTTTTTTAGGCTCGTGGATCTTTTTCCCCGGTACCCTGGGAGTATTAGCACTCCTCGAATGGTACATCAAAGACGCGTGTTTGTTGCGGCTCGAACGAGGGAAGGGAAGAAAGAGTGGCTGCTATGAGCTGCGCGAGGCCGTTTCAAACTGGTTTTCTCAGGCGCGATACGCGCCGTTTTGCTCGCAGATATACGAGAAGTTTGCTTTTTCGAGTCGGCCATGTCCCGGTGACTTTTCGTCGAGGTGTCAGATTTTTTTTCTTCCCCCAATTTATTTTCGAATTTTGTTTTGCCCCGCGAGAAAATATCCCGAAGTGTGAGAATTAGGGTAGCCTCCTCCTGGATGTGAGCGGAGGCCGAACTGATGAGGAACTCACTATTTCGAGTCGATAACATCTTCACGACTTTTCGTCAAGGTGTCCGAATTTTTTTCTTGCCCGAATTTCATTTTAACCGCGATTTTTCTTTTTCGGCCCAGGAGGAAATGTCGAA